GCCGTTGTAACTTTCGCACTCGCTCTCGCACTCGCACTCACTAACTCGCTTGTTCAGAATATAGCTGTTGTGTTCCCTTCTGTGAGTCTTTTCTCTCCGACACTAGGCACTGGAGCGGGTCAGCAGCAGATACCTCAGATTGACGAATCAGCAGATATAACAGTACTGAACTGGCGAAAATGCCTCCGCTTAGTGAAAACTAGCGTTTTATGGGCGTGTAATAACACAAATAAAGTTTCCGAAAATTCTTCGGCAGGGATATCTCGAATACCCTACCAGCTGAAACTTGAGGTAGCCTAGTGCAGCCGACCCATTGAAGGCCATCATAAACGAGAGATTCCGCTGGGATTCAGATGAATCTCACTTGAAAACGGAATTTGTATGCAAACGAGTGTAGTTCGCAAATTTCGTGCAATTTGCGTTAAAGTAAAGCATCAGATTGATGGAAACGCGGACATTGCTCTTGTCTGATGAATGCCAAGTAGAGCAAAGCAAGTCGTGGGAAGATTATAGCAACCTCATGCATAGTGCCCATTCGGCAAAAGGGTTAATGTTTCACGTCACATGTATCGCTCGTGCTTCGAAACACCTGCTTTTTTCACTTCGACTTAAATATTTTGCCTTTCTAGCGTTTCAATGAACGGTGCCAGGCTAGCTGTGCGAACAATTTATCTAAAACCGGTATCCTCCTCTTTCGTACAAACTTTGTTGCTGTAACATACTACTCACAAGGTAGTAGAGAAAAATTGACACCTCACGACCGGCTTCGCTCATCTTGGGGCTCATCAGGTAGGCACAGTTCCTGACTTTTCGTCCACCTTATGTTGTACTAGAACTTAGATTTCACGAAATTCGACCAATCCTCTCGACTGCATACCAATTTAATTTTGACGGGATACGCAGATGGAACTCACATGGAATTTCTAGTTTATGATGTTCTTCAACTGGGTTCCAGTTTGGCCTCCCATAAAAACCAGATTGGTATGCGAATGCGTGTGTTCTGTTAGTCTTACCAGGCTGGATTTGACCTTGTTTTGGGTAAGCGCCCAAAGGCGAAGTTGTGTTCACATCCTGTGTTACGAACCATCAGTTAGGGGCCTGTGTCTAATGCACCCTCCTGGCACGGGATTTTGGGATGGGCCGATTGGTGGAGCGGAGTCTGAAGAACACTTTATGCACTTTTAAGGTACGCACAAGTTTACAGCTGGTCTGGTCCTTCTACATATTCCGACGCGTTGACTTAAACATGCGGACATTAAAAGAGCAAGTAGTACTTCACTGAACTGAATACGTGCAGTAACCTCGAGTGAGTATAGATTTTGTTTGTTTGAATACTGTAGAGGTCATGGATGTGGCCACGGCAGCTATGGCCACAGGTCGCTATGGGTTGAAGCCATAAAATTCGAAAATCGTACTGCCCAAATGCGTTGGATTCTTTGATCGTCACTTGGCACCCAACGTCTCTGTCGGGGAATGTGGATAGTCAGAGGACTGACAGAGTATATATGCTGCACTATGCTAATCCGGACTTCATAGTATCTGCTGTGTAGAACAGAGTCTTAAGCAGCTCGTGCCTGCTGACGTTTGCGGTACGCAGAACTTGGCACAAATCCTTCGGCCGATGAAAGCAACACAGTGATCAAAATCATTCATCATATTTATATGAGAGTGAAGGCTTTCCTTTTCTTTCTTTCCTTTATTTTACCAAGCCAGAGCACTGAATTCTACGCATAATTTGAACAACGCAGTGTGCAAACCAATTCTGCAATAAAACGACTGCTTTATTCTGTTATTCATAGGTCACGATGGTTTTGTTGACCTCAACTATCCAGAGTTTGTTGATCGTATGAAGCATTAGCCCAGCTCACCAAAACATGGCGAAAACCAATTGTGCAACAGAGAGCTGTTTTCAGAGCGTATTCCGTGAACAACGCTCGATTTCTTGCCGCGGTTCGGTTGAACACATGTCTCAGTTTTCACAAGGTTGCTGAAAATTCTTCTACCGCCCCCGACCGGTTTCACCCTTCTTGGGGCTCATCATGTAGGCTCAGTCCCCGAGTTTCCGTCAACCTTATAATCTACTTGAACCCAAATTGCAATTTTTTTCGAGAAATACACTCATTTGAAAATCAATTTGGTTTTCACGACAGATTCGACTGAATATTTCGTTTATGACATTCTCTTATGCCTCAGTTTGCTGCAATAGTTCTGCCATAAATCGGAAGAAAATTAGCGTGGGTTGAAGAAACGCAGTTGGAAATTTGTGGCGGGAACATTCAACAGGATTTCAGCAGCCTTGCTCCTTTATGCTGTTATGCCTCAGTTTGCTGCAATAGTTCTGCATAAAATCGGAAAGAAAATTAGCGTGGGTTGAAGAAACGCAGTTGGATTGGAGTGGCGGGAACATTCAACAGGATTTCAGCAGCCTTGCTCGTTCAAATTTGGCTTCTCGATTTGATCTAGTGGGTCGGTGAACAACACTGTGACTAAACGGCGACCGTCTTATCATCAGCCGGACAGATTTATATCCCATGTCGTTTTCCTGGCAAGATTTTCAGAGGAAGCACGTGACCTGGTGACATCTCTAAGATCATATTAGGGTTTGATTTGTCTCGAAAAGCATGGTGAGGTAGGACTTCTGTTGAAGAAACTATACTTTCGTAGTCATTCCGGCTCACATCACACAGTCTGTACTGTTGTCTTCGTCCGACCGTGACTGATATGGGACAAGCATTCTTGATCTAACAAAGTATCAAACAATTTTGTACCCAATGCAAGAGGCGTCAGTTCTTTACTCTCAACACGGGCTGACAGAAACATGAAACACTGTGGCTGGATAGCACACTGAAAGTGTATGGGTTGATGCGAATTATTTCATTACGTATTGAGAAACAGAGTGTTTTCCTTAGTCTCTGTCCAAAGGATCTTTTTTCAACCAGTTGCTTTGATACTGACTGATTACGGAGAGATATTTTACCGTACTAAAAGATTTTAAAAGACGATGAGAAGCCGTTTTTCAATACTGAAGGAAATCCTGGGTGTTGAGATGACTCGGAATACACGGCTTAGGTTAGATTCATCTGCAAGCGCCACGTTTTTTCATCCGGCTTATTCGGCCACTTTTCAACACTCATTTGAGAGTGCGTATTTTTGTGTGACCTGCCACGTCAACTTCATAACCTGTTACTATAATAAAAGCTAATTCAAGAATCTTACTAAAAGATCGAAGCAACTTCCCCAAAAAATTATAGGACACTGGTGTTTTTCAACACAGTGATCAAAATCATTCATCATATTTATATGAGAGTGAAGGCTTTCCTTTTCTTTCTTTCCTTTATTTTACCAAGCCAGAGCACTGAATTCTACGCATAATTTGAACAACGCAGTGTGCAAACCAATTCTGCAATAAAACGACTGCTTTATTCTGTTATTCATAGGTCACGATGGTTTTGTTGACCTCAACTATCCAGAGTTTGTTGATCGTATGAAGCATTAGCCCAGCTCACCAAAACATGGCGAAAACCAATTGTGCAACAGAGAGCTGTTTTCAGAGCGTATTCCGTGAACAACGCTCGATTTCTTGCCGCGGTTCGGTTGAACACATGTCTCAGTTTTCACAAGGTTGCTGAAAATTCTTCTACCGCCCCCGACCGGTTTCACCCTTCTTGGGGCTCATCATGTAGGCTCAGTCCCCGAGTTTCCGTCAACCTTATAATCTACTTGAACCCAAATTGCAATTTTTTTCGAGAAATACACTCATTTGAAAATCAATTTGGTTTTCACGACAGATTCGACTGAATATTTCGTTTATGACATTCTCTTATGCCTCAGTTTGCTGCAATAGTTCTGCATAAATCGGAAAGAAAATTAGCGTGGGTTGAAGAAACGCAGTTGGAAATTTGTGGCGGGAACATTCAACAGGATTTCAGCAGCCTTGCTCGTTCAAATTTGGCTTCTCGATTTGATCTAGTGGGTCGGTGAACAACACTGTGACTAAACGGCGACCGTCTTATCATCAGCCGGACAGATTTATATCCCATGTCGTTTTCCTGGCAAGATTTTCAGAGGAAGCACGTGACCTGGTGACATCTCTAAGATCATATTAGGGTTTGATTTGTCTCGAAAAGCATGGTGAGGTAGGACTTCTGTTGAAGAAACTATACTTTCGTAGTCATTCCGGCTCACATCACACAGTCTGTACTGTTGTCTTCGTCCGACCGTGACTGATATGGGACAAGCATTCTTGATCTAACAAAGTATCAAACAATTTTGTACCCAATGCAAGAGGCGTCAGTTCTTTACTCTCAACACGGGCTGACAGAAACATGAAACACTGTGGCTGGATAGCACACTGAAAGTGTATGGGTTGATGCGAATTATTTCATTACGTATTGAGAAACAGAGTGTTTTCCTTAGTCTCTGTCCAAAGGATCTTTTTTCAACCAGTTGCTTTGATACTGACTGATTACGGAGAGATATTTTACCGTACTAAAAGATTTTAAAAGACGATGAGAAGCCGTTTTTCAATACTGAAGGAAATCCTGGGTGTTGAGATGACTCGGAATACACGGCTTAGGTTAGATTCATCTGCAAGCGCCACGTTTTTTCATCCGGCTCATTCGGCCACTTTTCAACACTCATTTGAGAGTGCGTATTTTTGTGTGACCTGCCACGTCAACTTCATAACCTGTTACTATAATAAAAGCTAATTCAAGAATCTTACTAAAAGATCGAAGCAACTTCCCCAAAAAATTATAGGACACTGGTGTTTTTAAGATTGTTTTAAATCAGGGAGAGTTTAATAGGTCTTGAAACGAAGCTTTTTGGCTGAGTAATCTGAACAAACAAAGCGAATGTCGACAAAAATGCAAAGACAAACTTTGGGCGGTCTGCCAGTCCTATTGATACCTTTTTGTGCGACAAACATTTCAGCTTGAATCTAGATAATTTTTCTGTTAACCTTCTAGTTGGGGTCCACATCAACTACACAGCGTTTACAAATGGATGTGGCTGGAATCCCACATCAGGACGATGAGTTTCAAGCCACATCTTCTCCGCCCCATCTACAACCGTTGGATAATGAATCGAATATGCGGCCATTCCAAAAGATGGATGGAACTGTTTCACCCGAACACATCTTACCACCCTTGAAGTATGAACCTACACACTGCTCTGTATCGACATCGACAGCTAGTGAACCGAATTCAGTCCATCACAAAAATAGTGAGGCACAATCAGAAGCCTCGTACACCGCAACCCATTTGGATCGAGATATGCACGTGACCGGATCGAGTCAGTCATGTGAAATCCTACATACCACCCTCGACGGTCAAAGGCGTAAACGTAGGAAGCCCCTGGTACCCCCGCAAAAGTTCCCTGCTGTGCAACTGGACACGGGTGAAATGACAGATTCGGACGAGGAATACAGTGAGTTTCCAAAACTGGTAAAAATCTCGGACACGACGTCTGTAGACAGTGACTTCTCCAATGAGGTGGAACCGATGAAAAGCACACTATCTGACTCGGGAATCGACAAATTTTCGGAGCACAAAGAAAATCAGTTTATCCATGAAATCAGTCATCAAGCAGTTGAAACTGTCCGACAAATTATTTGTCCATCGGAGACGAAAAAGTCGTACGATACGCAAACGGAACTGTTGTTGGAACGAACTTTATCACAACTTGAACCACAGATATCTCGACTTGTTGGACAGTCTTTACGGTCCAGTATAGAAAGTATTAGAGAACAAGTGTTGGCCGGTTTGAAATCGGCCACAAGTTCTCTCTCCACCGAACAAAACGATACAATAACCAGGAAGACATCTAGCACCGTCGAACCGCCTAATTTTGCTTCCGAGGCGGTTTCAGAATTTCAAAATTCTAGCACACCAGAAGCGGAAAACCTGAGTAATCCGGGCAACAGAAGCGAAATTGTCTGGTCAGCTTTAAAAGCAGCTAGTATACCGTCCTTTACAATCAATAATTTGAATCTATCCTGTACGAGCGAAGAGAAACAGGGTAGCGAACGCGAACCTATTCCAGTGGGCCCTGAAACACTAACTTCTGACGGAAACATTTGTCTCGAGAAGGAACAACATACTGCTCAGATTAGAGCTCTTTCGCAAAAACTCAATGAATCGACTGAGATGAGCACCGACACCGATAACTGTCAGAATCCACTAAGTGACTACACGTCCCAAGTATTCCCCTATTCGAATGCATTCAAGTTGCCTCTCCCGCAGTTACTCAAGCCGAATTTTATACAAGTGGTTTCCGATTCACTTCCTGTCAAAAATAGATGTAACCGGATGGAATCCGGCTACCGGAGATCATCTCCAAACAAGACGAACGATGGATTCACCATAGAGGGATTGGGGAATAATGGCGGGACTGGAGAGCTGAAGGAACCATCACTGAACTATCAAGTAAGTCTTCTAACCAGATGATTTCATAGCAGAGTGAGTGCAACATTGAAAGGTTGAAAGATCTAGCTGAAATTGCATGCCTAACCAATCATAGAGGTCGCTTCAGTTTGATGATGCTGACTAGTTCATTAGCTGAGCATAGGCGGTTCACATCTGTTTATAGCTAAGAGACCGGAGAGTGTGTGTGAGGAGCTGAATGTGACGCAGTAAGCCAGAAATATCATATAATTCAGCGGATAAACCCACAGGGTTTGTTAACAAACACCGGCCGGCCCAATCAACTGAGTTTTCCTGCTAACAGTCCCATTTGTCATGGGGTATGACGGCAAAGTAATCACAGCTTCCATATTCACTTATAAAGTTCCATTAAGGATGTCCAAACTGATTAGATCATAGATATTAGACAAGACTGGAGTAATATACATGCATATCTACAGATCGACGCAGATTTATGTAGAAAAGTGATCTGCGCAGGCATCAGCAACGTGTGTAGACAGTGGTCGGAAAGTCGTGTTTTTTTAAACCCGACCGCCCATCAGGTATCAGGTTAGTCCATTTGCTATGAATTTTCAGTCTGGTTCATTCTGCTACCCATCTTATGACTGTTCGAGCCATGATCTGAGTAGTCCAGAGCACCGGTTTTATTGATGAATACCATATCTGGGATCATCGCTCACTGTTTTAGACCAAACAAGGAATGATGCAATTGTCGAAAGTAAATGGCCGCAACAAACTCTCCGCAGTACACACCATTTAGTTGGAAATGGGTGGATAAATGTAAAACTGGCGTTCCCACTGCTAGCGGTGAAAGGAAGACCCCCCTAGCTAAGAAGTTGCTTGTTAGTAAATCCGAGCTAAGCGGCTATAAGACATTGGACACGAAATTAAGCATCTCGCTGCGTAGAGTTTTTGAAAAATGAACATTGTCAAGCGTTCTCTTGAACTTTCATGAAGCAAGCATCACAAAGCAGTTCAGTGATTTCCGCAGTAACCTTTACCCCCAGTAGATGCGGGGGGCGGAGCTCCGACTATGGACTAGTCACATGCTTAGCACCGATATTGTCAGGAAGTTGCGGTGACCACAGCAGCAGCACGCTGGTAACGTCATTTCTAATGACAGTGAACCGTGCACAGATAGATTGCGCGGCCAAGCGAAATAAGCAACGGTTACATTGCTGTCATCTCGACCATAGACAAATGAGGGTCAATCCCACGGTGGTCTATGAAGTGAGAATGCCAGTAACTGGTGAAGACAAGTCGACCAAGGCATTGGCGTCCTCAAGCTGCGCAGGTTTATGTGACTGTCGTGGCTTTCAATGTGATACAGTCATTCAGAATGTCCTATTTACGTCCACATTTTGAAACACGACCTAGCACTTCTGAAACCTACAAGATTAACCGTCCAAACGGTAGATCTCAAAAACTGCCGGTTGTCAGGCGGTCAGAAACCAAGAGTTTAACTTGCCATATACGCACAAACTTCGTTTTGTATTCCTAAATTAGTTGTCCAAGTTTCTATCTTTATGAGTCAAGTTATGTCTATCGGATCAAACAGAAGGAATGGAGGGTCAAGAACACTGAACACGTCTGACCAATCATCACTAGTAAATCGGAGATGTCACCATCTTGTGCACGTTCTTCGCATGACCACAGGTATACCGTCCACAAGAGGTAGAAAGCATCTACATGTGGCATGTAAGAAAAGTGGTCATTATATTTGGGAATCCGCTTCCACACTTCGAAGACTCGGAAGGACGAAAACAGATCCTTGGTCCGAATCAAGCCAAATACATGTCAGGAACAGCTGGGCTCTAGTACTCATTACCGGGTGCCGTAGATGAAGCCATGCAAAGATGAGTAAAAAAGCCCCAGTGGACCTTACGAGACACATTTACAGACTCTAGATAATGTGAACGAAGAAGATAGATGAGCGAACTCATTTGCAAACTAATTTGGTTTAGCGAGAGGCTCACCTGGAACCCAGCTGAATCTTTCGGTTTTGATGTTTCCAGTCAACTGATATCTCGAATATCGTAGCGATTGAAACATGGTGCAACACATTCAGTTGCCTGGAAACATCGAAGCTGAGAGATTCAGCTGGGTTCTATGTGCGTCTCTCGAAAAACCAAATTAGTTTGCCAAATGAGTGATATTCGCTAATTTCGAGGAATTTGGTTTCAAGCAGAACATAATAGTTAACGGAAACTCGGAGACTGCGCCTACCTGATGAGCCCCAAGAAGGGCGAAACCGGTTGCGGGCTGTCGGTGAGTAGTGCATCAGAAAAAGGAAGATCTCCACTGGCTGGTTTCACCGGCCTATTTCTTTTATTGAGGGTTTCATCCAGTGGCGGTGTGGGGCAAAATGTCCATCAGCTTCCTACCAGCCTGCATAACCAGTAGCTAGGCGGATCAGAAGAAAATCCATTTCTTCTTACCACCTACTTTGAAAATATGTTAAAATTTCCCTGAGATATGCGAGTTCCTATTGTACCGACTCGAGGTCTGTGTAATAACCTGCTGGGAAGGATCGGGACCTTAAGAGATCCAGGGTGTTTCTTCCAAAGACTACGTCCTTCAGACGTTTAAAAATCACATGATAGCCACGTGAAAAAGGCGCTCAACGGTTCATGTTGTCAGAAGCATGATGCAAGCAAAACTGAGTAAAGAGGTTTGACGGTGATGTTTCATTGAGTTTCTCAGCAAGGACTCAGTTCGCTTTGGCAACCGAAGCTCATACAACTAAACGAGTGTCGTGTCACAAGTCACATTACCTGATGTTAGCAGTACAACAGTTTTCAGAACTGTGTCTCATGGCTAGGGGTTAATTGCACCTTCAACAAGACAATTAAGGTAAGGCTGAAAATTGTTTGCTCTGGTAGAATATCGCCAACTCTATTTCACGATTAGGTAACTTGTCACGGTTTGAATAGGTTGGCAAACAAGGAGGAATGTGCGAGAATTTGGTTGGTTCCGCAGTTGTTACACAAAACGACGCACTATTTACTTGTTTCCCGCTCTTCTGCCTATATAGCCTGACAAAATGTGTTCTGTGACGCCTCAGCACCCGTCATTTTTGCAACCGGAAACTGCAGGAGCCGCGGTCCTTGCAAGCGCAATTGGATTACAGAATGCTTTGTGGATGAACAAAAATGACCTCAGTGGCAAGCTGTTTAGCAATTTCCCCGTGAATACGAATGAGCCACCTTGGTCTCCATCTTATCTGTCCCAGTTTGGTTTGTCAGCATTCACGCGACTACCATTGGGACTCTTCCCCCCTCTGAGTGGACACCACTTTCCTTCTCCAGTTTCTCCCAGTTCAACAAGACAGAACAGTTCCGGTCCACAGTTGAAACTGCATAATCAAGAAACAGACGCTCAAGAGGAACAAACGGAAGCCATTCCTCTGGTTGTCGGGCGGAAGACTGAGGAAGATCATCGGCCTGTTTCTAATTCGGCTGTTTCAGTTTTACAAGGAGTCCCCGGAATAAAGAATGTTTCGGAAATTGGTAATATTTCTCCGCTAACGACGCCGCTCAATGGAGCATCAAGACGCAGACGCACCAAGGTTACCGATACTCGACTAAACTCTCGTGCAGGCTCGCGGTCTACATTCAACTACATGTCTCCACGGAGCACCTACACTAACGGCGTTGCAGATGTTATACACAGTATGCAATATGCTGGAGCCGAAGTTCGAAGAACGTTTGAAAATGGCACAAGCGGGAACACCGCAAACATGGAACATTTCCCAATGAACAGCGAAATCTCGCTTCGGCATGCTAGAGGAGGAAACGAACATGATCGATCACAATCCTTGTTGAGCCCACCATCTTCCAGTGATGTACGTTTAAATAGCAGTAGTAGCAGCCCGTCTCCAAGTTCTGTTCGACTGTCCAACGGTCCAACAGATGGCAGTTCGGATGGAGATCTGCATCGTAGTTTGTCAGATAAAACAAGATTACTGAGCTCTCCAACTCTACACGAGAACAGACCAACAAGAGCTCCCATGTTCAACATGGTGTCAGGACCAAGATTATCTGATTCACAGTCGCGCATGGATTTTCCTGGCCCAAATCCACAACCATGCAATGAAACAGAATCTTTTGAGCAAACTTTGGTCAGGGCGTTCAGAACATCACCACAAATGTTCCGACAACGATCGATTAATTCGCTGATGAATACAATAAGTAGTTAGTCTAGTGCGAGACAGTCCTTGATCAGTTCTCTCCCACCGTTCAATGTCGGTGGTTGTTCAGTACCGTTTGCATCGCAAATTGGACCGCTGTCTAAAGAAGGACGGGGTATAGGTACAGGACAGCATCAGGTCTCTACTGTACGTTGGGAACGCGGATCAATCCACGAACCGCCTAATTTCCGTGGTTCTCTCGCTGCATTCGAAAGACATGTGGATAGCTCTTGTAAGAGAGCTATTGGTGAGGCATTGTTGCAGTCACAAAACTGTTTTGAAAAAGATAAGCTGGCGAACATAGACTCAAACAAGCTGCATCATTGCGTGGATGGAATGAGAACGGTGAGTGATTATCTCCGAATTCATGAATAGTTTATTTCGACGTAGCTTTTGATGAAAGCCATTTCGCATATGAAACTATTCCAAATAACTAGTAGTCGAGTAATCGATGATTTGTTAGAAACGACTTCTTTCTAGATATACAACCAGTGCCCCCCTAAGTTATTCACCTGGCTGGGTACGTTGCAGTTCGTGCACCTGTTTGGGCTTTATGGATAATAAAGAATAAAACCGAGAATATGAGGAAATAATATGCCACTTTTAGACCATATGAATCCAAAAAGTGTACAAATGTGTTATCTAATTGGGGTTTTGCGGGACGGGTATTTCCCATTCGTAGTCACACCACTCTCGTTGGAACGGCCGCGCTATTGTTCTGGCCTATTCGTTCCGGTGAGTCCACACCAAAGGAAAGCACTGGACTCGAGTTTCGGTTCTATTAGAGCTCANCAATCAATCGTCACAACCAGGACAGTTACTGGGTCGTCGTTCGATTGGTCGGGCACACCAATCACATCGCTCAAGTGTGAACACGTTTCGCTTCAGAAGAGCTTGAACACGTGAACACGTGAAAATTCAGGAGCGTCCAACGTGCGTTGGTGGAGGAGTGGTTACACGCTCGCCTCGCATGTCAGATGTCCGGGGTTCAGAACCCGGCACGGCGGTCGGATATGCACTGTTGATGAGCTCTGATGAGAGCAAGACTCAAGTCCAGTGCTTCCCTTTGGTGTGGACTCACCGGGATAATTACGCCAGAACAGGAACACGACCGTTCAAACGAAAGTGGCGTGACTACGAACAAGCAATATGTTTTCTAAATTAAACAAAGGAACAATCAATCAGACTTTTGTTCCAAAGAATGCAGGGCAAACGAAAACCGGGTGTTCAGCTCTCAGAAGTACTAAAAGTCCTCACTACGCACTGCTAACATGCCGGAAGAGACAGTGAGTGAACAAAAAGTTATGCCCAGAAAAACAACAAGTGCATTCAGGTTTTCCGTTGCACAGCGGTGAAGGTTCCGAAAAGCTTATGCTTTTACACCGCAGTCGAGTGCAGTACATTAAATGCAGTCATGGGCTTTGATCGTCTACATTTATACCAAGTTCCCATCATGTAACTTTCATTGTAGACAGCTTTTGACCATTTCGGAGTTCTGTTGAATAGTGAATCAGTGTCTTTGGGGTACCTGATTGCTAACACGCTATTGAGCATAGTTCTGCTGTCCCTATAAATCTAAATGATAGCTCTTAATAACGACGGGAGGTTTCTTGTGGTACAGCAATCCTTGATTTGATCTTTGGTTCCTCAACAACATTCCAGAGAATTCCAAGTTCTTTACTCTGAAATTATAAGGATGGCGGCCAGGATTTATGGAGATTTTGTAGATGCAAACTACCCTATCACTGAACGTCACATTGCCTGGACAAGCCAGCTGCTGACCGAAGCAAGACTCACACGTTACTTAGATTCGTCAGGTTGGGTAGGTGGTCAGCGGTTGCTAGCCACGTTGAGTGTCTGAAATGGGTATCTATTGGATCGGGTCAGTTATCCATATAACTCGCTGGTCCCCCCTCCGTAATGAAGGTTCTCATACCAGGTTTGTTAGATATTTGTTCTTATCTGGCTAACTGTCCTCCCGTGTAACTGATAGCGTTTTTGTGACCGGTGACCGTGTTGATACAGGGCGGCGCATTTCACCATGTCTTACTCTAAGCATTGAAATCCTACGGGAATGAAAGGGTAGTTTGTTGTGGAGGTAGACGATTGTGACCAATGCACTCAACTGCACACATTTTCGGAGACTCACCTCTGAGTCGCTCGTTTATGATGTTCTTCCACTTGGTTCAGCTGTCTCCCAGGTAAGTCTGACGTTAAAAACAAAACTAGTGTTCAGACAAGTAATTTGTCAAATTCCGCGCGTTTTAGTGGGCTCCAAGAATGGCGAAACCGATCTTGGGCTGTCAAGGAGTTTTCAGCAACCATATGAGTAGTGTATCATACCTAGTCGACTGCGCTTTACATGCTGGTGGCAATAGTCCTACTTGTTCGTAGGACCAAAACGTGTTTGTGGGTCTGAGACAACTAGTCAGAACACCTAAAATATGTAGAACTTAAGTCATTTTTGTGGATAACACAAAAGACAGCCAAATCGGAATTGATGGAAAGTCCGATAGCTCACTTCGTATTGATGGTCGCTATTTTGTTCGCTGAGCTGGGCAATTTGGTTGCAAACGTTTCACCAACGGTCGAGGTGATAACATCAGTGAGTGGAAGCTTTTTGAGTCTCGAAGTCAGCTGGTGTGCGAAGATGAACAGTCAGCACGTGTACAATCCTCACCAGAAATGAATGAGGAATGCATTGTGCGACAGGTTACTTGTAATGTTTGTCTTGCAATTGGTTTTGATTCATGGGAGACATTACCCATAGGATTATTGAAACCTAGCGAATAAACACTCATTTGCAAGTAAGCGTATATTCGCTAATTTCGTGCAATTTGGTTTCAAGTAGAACATAATTTTGACGGAACCTCGGGGACTGCGCCCACCTGATGAGCCCCAAGAAGGGCGAAACCGGTCGTGGGCTGTCGACGGATTTTCAGCAACCTTACGAGTAGTACATTACAAAAATTATTGAAACCTCTCCGGCAATCCAGAATTCGCTCGTACTTTAAATTCAGGCTGATCAGGTAGGCGCAGTCTCCGAGTTTCTGTCAGTCTTATGCTCTAGTTGAACAAAAATTGTAGGAAATTCACCAACTACGCTCATTTGCATATCACTTCGATTTCCACGGGAGACCCTGAGAACTCCAAGCTGAATTTGTCGTTTGTGATATTCTGTGCAATAGCTGTCACATTATATTTGATACAACACCCGCAAGATGGTAGGATATTTTCTTGAAGGATACTACTCATAAGGTTGCTGAAATCTCTTAGCTCACAACCGATTTTACATTTCTAAGGGCTTGCCAAGTAAATGTACTGAGATATCTCGACCATCGGGCCAACTAAAACATGAACTGGCCTTTGTTCAACCCATTCAGTTGAAGAACGTCATGAACGACGATTTGATCTGGGACTCAGACAAGTCTCTGATTAAAGCGAAACTGGTGCATGAGTGCCTCACCATGCCGTGACGATTCTTCATTCCTTCACCCAGTATCATTTTGCCGTTAGTGGTTCTATCCGGCGGATCTATATAGGAAAAGGACAACAGTCATTTGATCCTTGTCTAGAAGTGCCCACACATTGGTCAAGACCATGCCAGCGGACAATGAAAGATGAACCTTTTTCTGTATTAATGTTTTTATCATCCTGAAAGGAAGGATACATCAAACGTAGGATACTGTCGCACATGGCCTGTGTAACCATGAACTTGCCATTTTGAACGACAAAGTCAAAAGCATCAAATCCAGTGTGCACCCTATCATTTGATCGTCCGTACATTACTTAGATTGGGTTTCATTGGAGGAAGCGAGAGTCAACGACGTTTCAAATGCATTTTTTGCCAAACATAGAACCACTAAAAAACTGTTTACAGTTTCCAGAATAGAAACAGTTTCGTGTGCCGCCTAGGATTTATTATCCCGGATCGCATTTGTAAAGCACTAATAATTCAATAACAGTGGACCGAACCTTCTACTTGCTACTGATAAGTAGTTTTCACATTTCGAAATATTCCTTTTTGCTGAGTAAAACTTTATGGGAGAAAATGCTCTCGCAATGCGCTGATGAAAAACGATGCATAGTACAATGGGTTGGAAACTACTAATCTATGTTTATCTGATGAAATTTTTTCATCACCTGTTTCGGTTTTTAAAGGTTGCAAAATTAGAACAGTGACAAAACAGTTTGAAAGTTAACCTGGTAGAGTGATTGGTGTGCCGATTTAGAAGAAAATAAACCATGTTGTTAGTTTAGAAAAAACGATCACAGCTTTCTAAAATAATTTGAATACCTGCCCCGAATATTTTAAGACCAGTTTGCTTATTTTAGCAATTCACTTCGTTGGATGACCGAGGTACTTGACACATCCTAAGCCAGTTACAGTGTGTGCGTTCAATTCACAGATCTGAACTGAAGCCGAAAAGGTAGATATAAATGTTATGGGTGAAGTTTCACCTAGCTGTCAGATAGGCTACCCATCAGTCTTTTTTGCAGTGCATATATAATTCAGATGCATGGTTGATTAACTGACGTACCGTTGGATATCAACACCGCATGCAAGCACGTTTCTTCAGATTTCGTCACATCACATTTTTTCACCGTCCACTGAGAAAGTGGCCCCAGTCCAGATAGAATGTATTCGGTGTGCCGAATACGCGCTCCTTGCCACGCGTCCATTCTCGCCCTACGGTTCTTCAACACGAGAACGTCTTAAGCCCATGGGATATGAAATCCCATACAATATGCATTAGTATTTGTTTTCGTTGTGGTTGAACCACTGCTTTTAATACCACATGGGAGAGAATATAGATGAGTGAGAGCAAGACCTGTGGATTTCCAACAACACAGGGAAACTGAGGTTATCTGGAAGGGAAACCACCTGTGCATTTCCAACAACACAGGGAAACTGAGGTTGATCTCGAAGGTGTGGGTCAGTTTACCTTCCTGTATCGTCTTTATTAGAATGAAAAATTTTACTCATAAAGGAAACTACTCATTAGGTTGCTGAAAACTCTTTAACATCGCACATCCAGTGTCGCCAATCTTGAAGCTCATTAGCAATCTTGTGAGTATTCTGAGTATTATGTCTATGTAATATCGATATGCGATATCTTGAATATTGCACCAACTGAAAAATGAGGCGGCCTGATGAAAATGAGTGCACCTAATACCACTACTCCTACTACTACTACTACTAATAATAATGATGCTTATTCCCAACTAGTGGGTGGCATACCTTCTTGCACGATCATACGGTTGCAATCAGAATAGAACACGAATGGGGGGGAGTTGCGGGGATTGCGAGAAAAAAGGACAATGTCATAAATAGTGGGCAATATCCGGTGTAGACTCGACCACGCCTAGACCGGTTTGGGAGAGGATACACAGTTACCGTTGGGGGGACACAATAAGCTGAGACAAGATCAGATCGTTAAGGTTTAAAGGTGGCGGACAAAAACACGACCAGAGAGGGCGAAAAAGGGGCATCCTGCTTGGTGCTGTAAGAACTGCGTACATGCCAAACAGTGGTTCTAGCTGTCACAGTTTTGTTCACCGATGGCTTGCGGAGATGGGGTGGATAGCTGTGTTTTGGAGGCGGTATCTGGAACAATTGATGCATAAACGCAGGGTTTTCAATGGACTTTCATTTAGGAAGATCAGGAAAGGACCTAGACGTTGAATGCAATAGTTTGGATGCATGTGCGTTATTGAGGGCGCGACTGGGCCATGTCTGACAATGTCTCTAACCACTGATATGGCCCGTCTCGGGGTCCCCATCCAGAAATACCGCGCAGATGAGTTTGCTGGTTTTCATACTTCGTTGCCAAGTCATCGCTTATCCTCTTCTGACTCGTTTTCCCTCTTCACGTGGTTGTGCGCAAAGAGCCTTTCGAGGAAGTCGGTCGACTGGTATAGGCAGCGCTTGACCAGGTCAGCGCAACCACTGGAGTGTGATCAGATCTATTGTGGACGAATTATATCTTCCAAATACCGTCCGACTTACTTCAGCATTACTGATCCGGTTTTTCCATCAGACTTGGGCAGTGTTTCGATGATAACGACGGATGTCCTTGACGCGCATCGGCCAGGCTTCTGACCCATATAATAACGTGAGGCGCACCGCAGCATTGTAAACTCGACTCATGATGGATAAGCTGATGTCACGACATACGCCACAGTTGATACAGGTTCTAAAACACTGGATAGAGGCTAACATTGAACCCGGCTGAACCTCTCTTTTATGACGTTCTTAATCAACAGAGTGTACTTCACTAGGAGACTTCCTATCTCATTTGGCACGACGGCACTTGTTGAGTCCCAAGAGGGAGGAGACCGGTCGTTGAATTTGAAGAGGTTTCAGTAAACTTATAAGTAGTGTATTACGGCTTCTCATTCATTTCCACGAAGGACATCCAGGAATCACTCGTATGAAACGCATAGCTTGAAAGTGTATTTATTGGCTGTTCACAAATCAGGAAACCAAAAATTCTGTTCGTCTCTGTAGCAGCTGCGCTATGGGAGCAAAACTAGCTCTCAGCTGTGGTCTCAACTCTTGGCCGGGCCCGAATGGGTACTGGCAACATGCATGACCTCTTGGAGGCTTCCATCATTTTGTGCTCATTCACGTTTGGTCTAAGCGGCCCGAAACAAGTTTCATAGTTTTGTTGCACCTAAGCCATTTTATTTTGGATTTTTTTGCGCTCCAAATAATTTGTATTCTTAGAATCAACAGACTTGCATTTTATGCGGCATCGTGCAAGTACGCTATTCTGTACACCATCTGCAATCGAATACACAGGCCAATCGTTTTTGGATACATTTAGGGGCAGTTGTTAAAATGGAGGGAATAGTTGCCAAATGGTTTGAATTGCTTCGCTCGTCGATCAGTCAGTCAACCCGTTTCACGATTGGGATATGTTCACTCCACATGAATTGCTGATCTTCCTACCGATTAATGTTGTGTCCTTGTACCCTCAATCGGGTCAATTTTGCAACATAGAACGCCCCAGGTTGGCGCGTTTTGCTTCACATTCTTTGAGGCAATATGGACCAAAATACAAGTTGTCTCAGGAAAACCCGGACCCTACTCGGGGAGCACATTCGTTTTATCCATTCGGCACACTGTTTCACATGTAAACATATCAGTTGTTTTGTTTTGCGTTTTTAGGTGACAAACCATTTATGGGGGAGGAGGGTATGGTGATATATCTTGCGTAGTCGTGGAGCATGATAAAATTCAAGAACCAGAATCGGTCATTCTCGAGTGGGACTGATCACCGATACTCAGGTTAAGAGTTCGCTTCCCTATCCCCAACAACGAATGGCAGTGAGTCCCATTCACTCAACTAAGTTGGAAGAACCATCAGAATTTGCATCAGCAGTCAGGTTCCTTAGGATTGCATATTCAAGTTTTTTTTAACCAAGCAAAAACCGATTAAAGCTATGTGCGCCGAAAGCAAGCTTGGTGTCGGTATCTAACTCAGTTGACTTTGAGCCTGACTGCCACATATACTTTTCTGGCACTAACCCTCCAGGTTTCCTAACGTAAATTGTAGAATATGCAAGTCCACAGGTCGGTACTTACATGACCTCTGTGAATTTCATAAAATGGCTAAAATATCTGACTATTCACCAGTAGATGGATTCCCAGAAATTTCTAGAGCATGAGGTAAATAAAAACAACAGCCATTTAGTTCAGTTCCCAGTTGCGTGGCTGTGATACAAGGATGAATGAACTCACGTTCACAGCACTCTCTTTTGAGCAGTCATTTTCTGATGAGCATATTCAAATGGGAAAAGCGCTTGATGTGAACTTCTATCTTATTAGCGCTCATCTGTAGTACATTTTCCTGGCCGCACCCAGGTTTCAACTCCGGGCATCCTGCGTGTTACCGCTACTCCATGGACGCACTTCAGACTAAGCTGAATTATCACATCTCAACGGGGGGAAGTTTCTACACACTGATGGTTAGCATTTGTCATACTACCAGCATTTATCCATGTTATTGCGATCCTGATGAGCCAAGTATTGCTAGGTCGGATTCATTTATTAGGGCTTGACCAGCTGGCTGTTGATCTCTTCACGGATCATAGCAACTAGCTTGCACCCACTCAATTGCGCACCGAGGATGCCACACTCGGAGAACAGTTCAACAGTCACCTGATCAGCCAACGGTAATATATAGAACCCCACAGCTAATCCAACATTCGGCTCCTTCATATCGTTCCCTAAATTTTGACCTTAGCACCGACGAGAACAGAGAACTGGTTAGATGTTTAGTGAAGACTGACTGTCCACGATCGGTTTCCACCTTCCTATTTGGGCTCAGCAAGTAGATGCAGTCCACGGGTCCCCGTTAAACTTGTGTCATACCCAAAAAAGGACATCACAAACGAGAAATTCAGCTGGATTTCAAGTGAGTCACCTGTGGAAACAAAATTGGAGCAAATATGTCAGTCCAATGGCGACTGTGCCTCTACTTCTGCGTAGCATTCACTACACAAGCAGAGATATCAAAGTGGTCAAAAAAGTGTTGCCTCAGAATCATTTGAACCGATAGACCTGGTAACCACATGGAGTCGACTGAATGACCTCAAATTCAGTTGGGAATACTCGTATCGTAGTAATGCAACCTAAACCGGGGAAGCTAACCCCTCGTTCGGTGCAGTATGTACGCAGTCTATTCGCTCATTAAAGACAGCAAACGGTTTGACAGAATTCAACTTAGCGTTTGGATGAACCAACTAGAACTGATGCTTTTTGGGTTAATTTGACCCCATTCTGACTAACTAATTTCATGGGGCTAATTAGACTTACTTTAAGTCAAGCCCGATTTTAAGTCATCCTGTACGGTGGTTTTTCTTGGTTATCCGCTAAATGTAGATGTCTGGTAAAGAAATAATCCCAAGAAAAATAGTGTTACGTAGTCTCTATATCACTCTGGCTGGGTTTATTTGGCAGGTACGCACTCAAACGAAGGTAATGCACTCATATTTTTGTCCCCAGAGTGTTTTTGCCTTATATTATGCACTGGACCACGGTAGAGATTAAGGCTACTCATCCGGCGTGCACTGATCATAATAGAATGACCGTGTTTGAATGGGTGTTCAAATCAGTTTGAGACACAACAGCCAATCCCTGCGTGGTTAGTCATACTTGGAAGAGTGCATTTGAGAATCCGACAATAATAACTGTAATTAACAAGTAAATTAGTTAATGAATAGATGGGTGTCCTCTAGCTAGCACAAAGTTGCGAGGTGATTAGGTACACGAGTTGGCGATGACATTTGTGCAGTGATCTACAACTTGTGGGCACAAGTTTAACAAGCCGTTCTTTTGAATATCACTCTGTAGACAGTCCATTTTTCTTGATTTGGCCAAAACTCATTCTCGATTTAACTGCCTCAAGAGAGGCATATGTAACAGTTTAAAAAAAAGAGTATGTTTGAGCTGTATGCTAAGTGTTGAATAAGTCGCATTGAAGAATGTGTAGTTGGCCAGCTGTTTTTTCTCTACTTCAATCCAATTCTGACTTGTCAATAAGCAGTGAAACACAGCGGTACCTAGTGTCAGTCTCGGCTTTACCGACACAAAGCAGCAGAAAAAAAACGATATCCATTCTTCAGTTGTTAATCTGCAAGTTTCCATTCTTTGTTCACTCCTTCACGTATCCGGCCGGTATCGTTCGTGCTCACGCAGAGTTTCTCAACCAAAAACGTCGAAGCCATTTGTGCTGTGGATGCACATCCCTCCCCCGGGCCGACACACAAGCAACGCCTTAACACACACAAACACACGCCACTGCCCTTGTATTGTCTTACGAACCATTAACAACAAATCTTCAGCCTTCAGTCCTGTCTTCTTCCACTGCTTCTCGCCATCCCACCATCCCCACTAACCTTGGCACCTATACTAACAATACTTACGACTGTGTTCGGAAACAACAACTTCTGTATTTCTTCCAACCTGGTTGCCAATAGTTTCCTGTTGTCGAATGCCGAATTCTCTGTAAGTCAGGCGAGTGGAATTCGGTACCTTGCTGCGTGTGTATGCGCGAGGAGTACACACGCGCGTTGCCCCCTTCTTCGTCGTCTCTGAACAACTTCCGTTTGAGTGGGTTAGCAATCACCTTCGAGTTTTCTTTTGTTTTGCGTCGCGCGTACACGCACACAAAGGCGCAAGACTGATCAAGGTACGGCAAGGTGGCGGCAGCGACGACACGATGATTTTAAGAATTGACGTACAAAAGCGACCAGAGATGCAAATGAGCCTTTAGGTATGCACGGAGTGTCACCCAGCGAAGACATATTTCCGCAAATTTTATAGGATGCCGGAATTGGGGACCATGCGGAAGAGCATGTCGGTGTTGGCGCCGATAAGGAGAAAAACGTTCCTGATGCCCTAACTCGACTTGTGTGTTCCAGCTTATGGCAGCAGGGTGAAAATGATGCGTTCATACCACTTCTGTGATTTCATGTTTGTGCTTGCGTAGGCAACCATTCTTGGATCATTGAAGTTGGTTAATTGTCACAAGTGGAGTTCTTCCTTAAATTTCTGCCTCCGTAAAACACAATTGCATTTGTTAGACGATAGGGAATTCCTTGTCTAGCTCATTCGTACAATACCAAACTCTGGATTTCTGGTGATGACTGCTCAGTGTATGGGGAGGAGATTTAAGTTTGTCAGTATATACGTCAGGCAACTGGTATTTATCTATTTCGATCGATTGAATTGTTGGACAGTTGAATGATCAATACTAGTGAGTGAGAAATGAAGACACTTGTTAATATAGATACGCATTCACTGACTATGAGTGTATCCGAAGGAGTGGGTATGAGGTTTGTCATGCTGGAGTGAGGATTTTGAGATGAATGTATGCAAATAGAAGGTAGGTACTTTTTTTAGACGTCACTTTTGCTCGTTGAATTCGCCAAATCTCACGGGGTTGCAAGTAAAAGGATGCCTTCCTAACAAGTTGAAGAAACGGTACGCAGCACTAACAGGAGGAAGCCAGCCACTGTCTTGAGAACGGCTTTGACTCATACGGTTGCCTAGAACTTTTTGACAACTTTGCCTTTGTTCAGTCCCCACTAGGTAGGCGCGGTCCATGAGTTTCTATCAAGCTTATATCTCGCTTTTACCTGAGTGTGTCTGATTCGTGAGATGCTGTCATTTACAATCTGATTTGATTTTTAGTATGAGATTTAAACGCTTTATAAACTGAGTGCGTTGCGCACAGAATGGATGAAGCTGATCGCAGACTTTCGAAGTGTTTTCGACACGCTTATGAATAATACACCGCATCAGGAAATGATATTGCGAAATCTCCAATATCGTACAAACTGAAACATCAGACAGTCTTTGTAAAGCACGTTCAGGAGAAGGGGAATAGCATAAACGACACACTTAGCCAAACTCCACCAAAACCCCCGGCAAAAACAACCTTTGTTTTCAAATAAGCTTTGGATTAGTCGCTTGTCTAACCGGTGAGCAAGAGCATGCCAGTTTTCTGACGTCAGTAACTAATATGTTACTGTGATGTTGGACGGCTTGACTTGGTGACTTGCTGACAGAACTACTGGCCGCTAGACAGGAACAGAGAGAGCCAAGAAGAGAATGGAAGTGAGCTGGATATGCGAACAAGCGATTTATGCTTACTCGGGTGCGAGTAAGAGCCGCACAATAACAGAGGTTCCAAAAGTCGTGTGCGTCAGCCTCCAGTGCCATCGGTTGTATTTCATGTGTGTGAGAGGTGATCATTACTGATTGCTCTTCTTCGAATTCCACCTAGAGATGGTTATTGTCAAACGCCACAAACCTATGCTGTGCGGAGATTAATCACTCCCGTGCTGGTCACTTGACGGCTATATTCTTACTCGACCTGAATGTGGAAATTCTCATTTGACAAACCTTCTCCTCGAGGACGGGAAAGTAGGGCGCAATGCGTCTCAACAAAGATTGTGGACGACTCTAAATTCCAGCGACAGCCGTACAAAAGTTCATGCCAAAGCTCCTGTCTAAATGTAAGCCTTGGCTACCAAGCTTGGTAGCAAGATTGCTACTGGTGCCTCTCCTCAAAAGACCGTTTAGATTTTACTTCAAATGGATTGTTTCAACTTTCCTGTCTGAAGTGCTAAAAAAATGACATCTTGTGATCTTGGGTTTCTTCAGTGATCTGAGAAATCGTCGCTTGGAATTTTATAGCGTTAACAGTTAAAACTTACTCACGGAGCACAGGTTACGTAGACGATAACCTTATGTGGTATCAGCTGTAAACAGGCAAGCTCGACCATGCAACTAATCGTCGCTGTATTGATCAGTAATCAATCTGAAACGTTCGATCAAATCATTGAAATCCAGATGGTAAAGTGCCGAATTGGTGGGTAGAACTAAACACAGAGTCGCTGACAGCTCTCCAACGATCTCATAGCCTTGTGAAATTCGAACTTTTCCGTAGGTTTTAACATGACGGACGGTGTAACCGTCCTGGTTCTCAAAGGTCTTGATGCACACCGCTGGAGTATATGGATCCGCAGGTACAACAGTAATTGTGCACAAATTAGTGGGTTTGCGGTTGTCAGCTGCCTGTACCTAGATATTCATGCTAAGAACTACCAATCGTGTAATCATCCAGCAGAAATGGAATGTGACGTAATGTGACCATGCAAGACGTCGCAGAATACTTTGGGAGATCTGAAGCTATCACAATGAACGGCATGACTTCCCTAGTGGGCAAAATGAAGAACACTGGGTGTTCCTGGAAGAAGGTTATATTTATTTAACGAGGTTTTTTCATCATTATCATCATCATCATCATCATCACCATCCGACGATTCGGAGAGGTGGGGTAGCTAGCTGCGAATTGGAGGCGGTAGCTTATATATTGGTGTGTAAATACAACACTGTAGGTAGAATGTTAAGTTGGAAAACTTGAATCAATGAGTGAAAGGATTGTGGGGTTACACGCGTAAGACCCACTGGTCAGATACAATCACCTGTATTCGGCCGATAACTGTCCACGTGGTACACTCAGGTGGGATTTCAGTCTGAAGGCACAGGTTCAACTCTCTATCCCTGAAAACCCGAAAGAACGTTGACGAGTAGAAAATAATACGGCTAACAAGGCAACAGTTGCATCGGTACTTTTTCTACTAACGTAGCTGTAAATAGGAACAGGAGAAAACCGTTCATGTCTGCATGACATCATACCAGCTCGGTATGATTTCACTCACTGCATAGTACATTTTGGACTTTTGTTTTCCGAAGCACATGATGTGGTGAAATGACTTTCAATTATTTTTTTTGAAAAATCGCCTTTACCAATAGAAAAGCACCGAGTCGCTTTTGCTCACTGCAATGTAAGGTATTCCTTTATTGTTCATCAATGTCGATCAGATTGGAGCGTAACTATTAGTAGATCCTCATGCTCTGATAAAGGAGGAAATCTAGTACACTGCGTGTGCAAATAACAGCTCTTCTTCTTGCATTTCGCAACAAAGCTTAAGGTGCAACTGAGTGTATTTCTCGAAAACAGTCCAAACTAGGTTCAAGTAGAACATACGGTTGACGGAAACTCGAGGACTGCGCCTACCTGATGAGCCCAAGAAGGGCGAAACCGGTCGTGGGCTGTCGAAGAGTTTTCAGCAACCTTGTGAGTAGTATCCTTTATGAAATTTTAAGGTATTAGGCAAAAAAGTCACTCTTAAACTGACATAAATGCAGCTAATGTGAAGCAAAACTTCCCCAAAACTTGATTTTTAGGCGTATCGTCGAGCAGATATCACTTATTTGGAGGTGTACTTAGTACAGCGGACTTATCGCGAAGACCGAGATCAGTTGTATGATGACGGTCATTCGAGTAGACCAGTTTTGTCTGATGGTACACAGCAACTGGATGTTTTCTGTACATTTTTCTCTGTATCTATCGTTTTTTTCATCGCCAAACCGTCTCTGTTATTTTTCCTTCATCCAGACTAGCACTTTGACACCCGTGCATCTGCGCAAAGCAAAGCTCATGTTCTTCTATACGCGATATCCAAACTCTACTTTGATCAAGATGTACTTTCCAGACGTGAAGTTCTACAAGAACAACACAGCTCAGTTGGTAAAATGGTTCAGCAACTTCCGGTAAGTATTGTTCTTGAGCTGGCCCAGAATGGGTCCCGATAAGAACTTCACGAAAACACGTTGATAACAGCTAAACAAATCTGTAGTACATGGATGAATAATTGGTGCTTACAGGTGAACCTGTCGGGAGTTTTCGTCACTAAACACGCCCTGTGCAGGGCCAACGGACTCTAGGTTCCTTGTATTTCCCCCAAAGGACAAGCTAGTTTCCCTGTTCTGCTATGCATTCCATCAACATAACATTAGTTTATAACCACTGATCGCCCGAGTTTAGCAAAAATATGAGTATAAGCATATCCTTAGAGTGGTTCGTTTTCGAAGCAAAAGCACACCTAAATCGCACCTGAAAGGGAATTCTTCCATGTATTTCTAGGACGATAGCCTTTCTACCATTTTCCTGTTTACGCAACGCAACTAACACAAGATGTGTGACGAATTCTTGTAGGAAAGTTATGAACCAAGGACTTGAAAAGTTTAAAAACCACTGAAATTAGTTCAGTGTTCACTCTGTCCACTCATTGAGGAGGACGCTGTCAAATCTTCAAGTACGCCAGAATAGAAAGTAACTAAAATCTACTTAGAAATGCCTTGTAATGTGTTCGGCTATAATGGCAAAAGAAGAGGCCCATAGTCACCGAAATGGGACCACTATTCATCGCACTGAGACATCGAACTATTAGACTCAGTCGCCGATGAACACAGCACCCGGTTAGCTCCACTGATCAATGGTAATGACAGCGTACTCCCACGGTGGACTTAGGATGAACAGAGCTCTCCGGAAGAAATGCACTTCAACTGGGAATTAGGATTGGTAGCTGTGAAGTTAACAGCTCCGGCTCAGTGATAAGTATTCGCGCAAGCAGTGAATGTTTGGATAAACGCCTCAATGATTCCTTTATGACGTGTGAGTAGTTTTCAGCAGCATGTGACTGAACGAAGGGACTACTATGGGAGAGTAGTCTTAGTTGACCTATGGGTTATAGAGTATGCTTTTTCTTTCTACATGATCTAATATCTACGATCTAATATTGAAACGAGACCTGTACACGGCCCATCCAAAGAATGGGTGACCCACATGATCAGACAGTACCCGAATTTCCTTACTGGCACGTTGCAACTCTATGCTTGGAAGGGAAGCAAACAACAAACACGTGCTATAGTTGGCAAAACGCAGCTTATACTTTCCTTCGGGATACAGGCTCTTATCCCGTCGTAGCTTCAAATTTTCTTGAATTTTTGTAGCAACGGTTTAAACACATTGTGGTAAAATTGTGTGTGGTGGACGCATGATAAGTTAGAGGAAACTGCACTGATTTGATCAAATAACAGTGGGTAAACTAAGTTGCTGAATTTTCATTTCAGAGGTCTTGAATCAGCTTAGTAAATGGCCGCAAAATGAAAGCGAAAATGCTAGTCCTGGGGGCCCTAACTCAGAGTACTTCAGTCGCCAGATAGATGACCGACAGCAAGAAACGTATAAATAAAATGTAAACATAAAAACGCAGTCAGAATGTTCACCAAGGGCCAAATAAGAGTCAGAGTAAAAGAGGTCACAAACTCGAACTCAAAGAGGTCAAGGGCATAAGTCACTCCAGCATCGACCGGAGTAGGAGAGGCCTCTCAATCGTTGTGGTTCCCATGAGTTTGTAAAGGTTATGTGGTGACATTATGTCTTGGCTGACTAAGCGAAAGAGAAACCCCGAGAGAGATATCATTTCTTTGTCAACCACGATTTATTTCACGACCTCCCGAAAATAGACCACTCTGACCAGGAGACGGTAGATTTTTCTTCTAACAAGAATTCGACGTACCGTCTTACGTTTTCTCCCAAATAGCTCTTTTGCGGAGGGATCTGCTTCCTTTTGGAGCCAGCTTCATTATTCGTCTGGAGAAAAGGTAAAATGAGTAAAGGGTTTTGTAGTCTTGTATGAAGGTAGGAAGGTACTATGACAGACAGCTCAGACATATACGGAACACATGGTAAAAAACGGCGCCTAAACTAATTAATCACTATTGAGGGGCCACTATGATAAACTGGTTTAAAGCTGTTAAGTCGTGTAATGCCTGTTTGATCGCGTGAATTTCACTGCTGGTGCAGCAATGTCCTGGTCACAAAGATCACGTGAACACCAGTTGCTTCTGCAGCAGAAGAAAACTCATCTAGGAGAAACTTTTGTACCTTAAAATCAAGTAATCACGTGATGCTTTCTCCATTACTGAAAGATGAGCGGCACTATATTCTGCCTAAGTGAGATCTAATCACACTGCTGGTTGGTTACTTAGGACCGAATGATTGAGCTCTCAAACAGTGACTGGAAGGTCCCGGATTCAAAAATGCGCACCATTTAGGATTCCTACCAAGGATGAAACAGCTTTACAGTGCTTCTAAGCTTTTAAGCATATCATGAAATCTACATGGAGTATCCTAAACTGTACTTCATAATTTAGACTGATATTTGTTTAAACGTCAGTCCTAGGCTCACTGCAACCTAGATAAGTTCAACTAGAATTCTTCACGGTGAATTGTTTTCCCCTCCACAATGCATGGAATGTATCCTTATAATGTGTTATTAGAAATTTATCTATCTGCTCACTCAGTGTGACCGTCTCAACAAGGGCTGTCCATTTGCAAACGAAGAACATATTCTACAGAGGAATTTTTCGAAATTCACTCAACTCACAACCTGTGAGCTGACGGCTTAGTTAAAGTGACCTGGCTTGCTTTGAAAGGTCCTAGTGGTCGTTTCGTCCTTTATTGGAGAAGAGCCCAACAGACACTTCTGCTGTGTCATGCCGGCCCTGCTCGATTAACCGTTTGAAACCGTTTGAAACTGCGAGAATGTGTTTACTCACAGGTCTAAATGCGTGTGTGGACTAGTCCTGTAGTCTTGTCAACAACACATTGCGTCATTCAGCTGTAGCAACCTTTCGGTGCCTAACTGCCATGCCACCTAAAAGAGACACGAGGGCTGGAATACTGTCAGGTCGCGCAAGGCTAGGCAGTGGAAGTCGAGAGGCAGAGGTCGGGTTCGAACCACGGACCTTCCGGTCAGTAAATTCGCACTCTAACCACTTGGTCCATCTCGCCCCTCAACACGTAACACTTTACGCTTTAAAGATACATCTAGATGTTTTATTTGAAAGCATTTATATTAGGGGTAGAATCAATTACTACAATACGCAGGCCTCACCATCGTCTACCACAATCGTGAGAAGATTGGTTTGTGTCTGCCAGTAGTGTGGTTTCTTAGTTTAGACACGAGTATGGCTACAAGCAGTAGGCCAAAGCAAGATATGCTACATCATTTAGCCGTCCACTGGATAGCACCTCGGTTTTGTCCTTAAGGGATTTTCTTGAAAATAAGATTTCCACTAAACCATGACTGACGGATGTTTCCCTTTGAAGAGGGGAGGACTACTCAGACAACTTCCTACGGAAGCTGTCTTCCTGAAAGAAAAATGGCTTCTGTCGCGCAAAACTGACTGCAGAAACAATACCACACTGTTTTACAGATGCGAGAATTATTCCGGAACATAAAAACACCGCCGTCATCAACAAACACGTCGACCTTCTCTCGGAAATAGTTCCGCCTCCTGAAGACTCCCGTCTCACACCTCCGCTCCCACATGGTAAATAGACTCTCGGATGTTGATGAGGATGACTCCACCACGTATATCCTATTGGGCTAGGCACGAGAGTTGGCAAATCATAGACCCTGGTTTGGTGTGTACTCCGACAGACAGAGAGTAATTGTTTTCTTTATCGTTTTTCCCGGAAAATTGTAGTGCATAAAGATGAAGAAATCGGTGAATGGAATTGTCTGGTCCTTGTCAACAGCGAAAGAAAAACATAAACATGATGTCCTGCTAATCTAGTTTCTCAGCTTCCACAGAAGAATTGGCCTCCCTGATGGAATCGATCGACGGGTGGGAGGAGGATGGGTTTGGAACACTGAGAGGATGGGGGACGTGGGTGTGCGGTGGGATCATTAACTTAAATGTCGGTGTTTAATGTGGCCGGAAATCTGCGGGCATCACTAATGGGTGCATGTGTTTCGGTGGTCTCATACAAGAGGACAGAGTGTCGGAATAAAACAATAGACACAAATCATATGTTTACGCTTTAAAGATACATCTAGATGTTTTATTTGAAAGCATTTATATTAGGGGTAGAATCAATTACTACAATACGCAGGCCTCACCATCGTCTACCACAATCGTGAGAAGATTGGTTTGTGTCTGCCAGTAGTGTGGTTTCTTAGTTTAGACACGAGTATGGCTACAAGCAGTAGGCCAAAGCAAGATATGCTACATCATTTAGCCGTCCACTGGATAGCACCTCGGTTTTGTCCTTAAGGGATTTTCTTGAAAATAAGATTTCCACTAAACCATGACTGACGGATGTTTCCCTTTGAAGAGGGGAGGACTACTCAGACAACTTCCTACGGAAGCTGTCTTCCTGAAAGAAAAATGGCTTCTGTCGCGCAAAACTGACTGCAGAAACAATACCACACTGTTTTACAGATGCGAGAATTATTCCGGAACATAAAAACACCGCCGTCATCAACAAACACGTCGACCTTCTCTCGGAAATAGTTCCGCCTCCTGAAGACTCCCGTCTCACACCTCCGCTCCCACATGGTAAATAGACTCTCGGATGTTGATGAGGATGACTCCACCACGTATATCCTATTGGGCTAGGCACGAGAGTTGGCAAATCATAGACCCTGGTTTGGTGTGTACTCCGACAGACAGAGAGTAATTGTTTTCTTTATCGTTTTTCCCGGAAAATTGTAGTGCATAAAGATGAAGAAATCGGTGAATGGAATTGTCTGGTCCTTGTCAACAGCGAAAGAAAAACATAAACATGATGTCCTGCTAATCTAGTTTCTCAGCTTCCACAGAAGAATTGGCCTCCCTGATGGAATCGATCGACGGGTGGGAGGAGGATGGGTTTGGAACACTGAGAGGATGGGGGACGTGGGTGTGCGGTGGGATCATTAACTTAAATGTCGGTGTTTAATGTGGCCGGAAATCTGCGGGCATCACTAATGGGTGCATGTGTTTCGGTGGTCTCATACAAGAGGACAGAGTGTCGGAATAAAACAATAGACACAAATCATATGATGGATGGTGAGTAAAGGTTTCTGGTAGACGGACAATTTGGCCAGTGTGATAAAAACGAAACCGGAAGTCGTAAGCTGAGTTGAGACGAAGACGGAGCAATCGAATGAACTGGTCATGTGGGAATGGCGTTGTGTTAATTCAGTGTATGATTAAAATACTTGCAAATGAGTGTAGTTTGCTAATTCCTTGCAATCTGGGTTGACGGAAACCTGGGGAATGTGCCTACCTGATGAGCCCCAAGGAGGGCAGAACCGGTTATGGACTGTGGAAGAATTTTAAGCAACCTTATGAGTAGTGTATTACGTCTATACTTGAAGTGTTAATACTTTTGTGAGTACCAGTGACAGTATTCTAAACCAGACAGCTATATACTGAGGTTTCATTAACTCGATGCAAATGGCCCCAGCTTTGGTTCAGCTGTCCACCTCTGACGGCGAGAAATACGTTGACTGAGGTGCATTTCGATAACTTTTGTACCAGACCGAGGGACGTTTTCCACTTTGTTTGTTTGTTTGCTTGCCTAGCAAATAAAAGTTGCGAATCTAGCACTTGAACCCAAACACTTTCGGTCGTTTGCCTTTTTCGGTTTGCTGTGTTTCGGTAAACTAGTGCTTATCAGCATTGAACTCTCCCATCAACTCCAAGTCAGTTGTAAAATGAGTGATTTTATCCACATACTTGCATGAATTTCGGTGTGTAACTATGTTAGAAGCCCGATAAAATTTCATTCGATGAACCTCCAAGAGGAAGGAACCACATGTTAGCAGACGAAGAGTCCCGATGAAAGTTTATAAGTAGTGTCAAATGAAGGAACATATTTCGATCTCTTGAATTTCACTTCAAACGAAACATGAGGTCATCTGGATGAAACACACCAAGTTGTAAACGGGAGAGATTCAACTCCCTCCTTTGTTTATCTACACATGGATCTTAAGCCGAAGACCTAATATTCACTCACTAGCTCTAAGGATTAGATCTGCATTTAAATTCACCCGATCTATTCTTCAGTAGCACACAGAGCAAATATATGCCTCGGAGGTGGGAAAAATACTCAAAACCACACAAGATAGTATCAGTTAGTAGTATATCAATCGCCCAAGCAGAAGGTCACGGCTTGGATATTTTAGACCATTCTGTCTCTTCTTTGCATGCAGTTTGAGTGCGGGTTGGTTAGCTCATCTGTGAGATTTGTAACCGCCTGTAATAGGCTCACAGGAAGCATCGACAGTCTTCGGCTTTTGCTTCATTGATTAAGCAGTCACCGTTCAGTTGAGATGTATAAAGCGACATTTCGACCAAAAGTCTATAGATGGATGAGTTCAATTCGCGTTCCCGGTGTCTCATACACGGCTACCAGTTACTCATATTACAACGTGCTACTGTAGCGATTGTCTTTGATTTATGTGCGCCTTTCTTATAAATGAGGTTTAAGGCGACTATCTTTCGGTCATGCATTTCACATGAGATGGATTTGTAGAAATGCTGATCAGCCACTTGTGGTCGGGGGGTACAGAGCCCAGCTAGTAACCGGGAGGTCTCTTTGTACACGAGGCATCAAAGTAGGAAATATTAGTTTTTCAACAAAGACTAGTTTCTTGAAGGAACACGACTCACAAGGTTGCTGAAAACTCCCCACGACGGGTTACAACAGCTTTTCAGGAAGGTGCATTCCCCGAGAGATTTAACAATAATTCAGCTGGTGCAAATAAATAAAGGTATTTTGGAAATCCTGTCAAATCGAGATCCCTATAAAACAGATTTGACTCGGGATTGTTCCTAGCTGGTGTAATCAAGAATGGCGGAACGGGTTGTGGGCTGTCAAATGGTTTTCAGTGATCTTTTGAGTAGTGTTCCTTGAATATCCTACCAACTGAAATATGCAACGGCTTTCATGGTGCAGAGTTAGGTGAAGAATACAAAAAAACTAGACGTTCATCTGGAATTAATATGAGTCTGCTGTTAAAACGAAATTGGAATGTAAATAAGTGCAGTTTACGAGAGACTGATTTCGCTCCGTGGATGAAATTTTATCGTTATCTGGTGTCGCACGGGAGCTGCGATTTCAATGCGACTCGCCAGCCTACAGTTGACGTAATACCGTTCATTCAAGAACCTTTTACGTTATGGATGTTAACAGAAGTTGACAATCCACTGATTTGCGATAAATCACAGAATCTCCCCTCAGAGCAGATTGAATTAACAAAATCAGAACTGCTGACCGTTGGGCGCCGGTGTCTCTCGATTGGCGTGTTTGACAACTTTAGACTATTCTGTATTCTAACAAAAAATGACCAGGTTTCCACCATTTGGTTGAGATTCTCACGCAAGTCGTCCAAACGGTTAGGAGATCGGAGAAAAAAATCAGAAGGAACGTGTTTGTCTGTTATCGTAGTCAAAATTTCGACTGAGTCTTGGTTCAAGCTCTTATTATAACCTGTCCTCATAGAGCCCACTTTTTCTGCAAATTTACATAAGCTCCGTGAGCCTTGCAGTTTTCATCTTCGCAAGGCCACAGGGTGGGCTACGGTTGTCGGACATTGTGGTTGATTTGTCATCAACCGAGAGTTTAGACCAATCAGGGAACACCGTGAGTTTCACTCAATAGACGTAGTGGAGTTCGACTTTGGAGCTGTCTGTGCGCCTTGCGAGAACTAATTACTATAAGTTCAGTGTGTTCCGCGGAAAGTCAGCGGATTCAGTTGCAAGCAAAGTGGACAAAAGCCGAGTGTTTCAAGATGTCTAGCCCCACAACAAAACGGCATGAACGAGAAGGGTAGGGGCAGTACTTCTGAAAATTTCATGCTTATAAGGCTGTTCACTCCTTGATTCCAAGTGGGTACATAACGTTACCGAGAGCTCCAAGGCTGTACTCAGCCGATGAACTAGAATAGAAGGGCGATTCCGGTCGTGGGCTGTGGAAGAATGTGGTTCACGACTAAAATAAAATAGTAATTGAAGACTCATCTGAGACCAGCTGAATCGCTCGTTTGTGATGTCCTCCAAATGAATCTACGTCTAGGTTATTATTGGGGAGGAATGGAAACTTACTTTTGCACAATGAGTGCACACTGTAGGGGGTCATCTTTCAATACTAGGATTTTTCAAGGAAGAACAAGTACTTTGGCTGGGTTATGTGGGTTTTTTCTCTGTCTGATTGAGGGAGAATGCGTTGCGAATTTGTTCTAAATTGGGTTCTACCCACCGCTACTCACGGTATTTTTGGTTTCCTGCGCTCTTACTCTTTGAACAGATTTCTCAGTATGACTTCTAATCGTGAAGTTGAAGTAATCACCTTCATAAGATGGGGAATACTGGTGTTGCCTCCTCAACACTTGTGCTGAGTAGTTTTCGCTCAAATGAACTCACCAACATATTGATAAAAGCAATCTGAAACGCACCGATAGAAATCTAACAATTCTACTTTCTCTGCGAAACTTTGACTGAGATAATAACTGACGGAGCCCGACAACAAAAACACAATTAAACGAAAGAGAAAGTCATTAAACCGGTCGTTAAGATCTCTTCCCACGTCTTCCCGCAACACAACAAATGTCATATCAATTTCTATGGAAGATCAAGTTATTCACACCCCTGTGTTACCTTGACAACCGTGCGAGGACAGGTGTGGTGTTTAACTTCATCGGTCGGCCTAATGGCAGCGAATGTTAAGATATAGAAAAGGGCAGATCACGACGATGAGGGGTAAATTAAACACGACAGTATCCCACAGTTGCATCGACGTTCATTCCAAATATTGTAACGTCATCGACGCGGGGTCTGTCAGTTCGATGGTTTTATGTGTTGTGAATGCTTACTTTATTTATACTATCCATTTTGGTATCTCCTACAGTGAATTCTACTACATCCAAATGGAAAAGTTCGCGCGTGTGGCCATCTCGGAAGGGGTACGCTCAGCGGATGAGATTCATGTGACCACGGACTCAGAACTCTACCGGGCGTTGAATCTGCACTATAACAGGAATCAACAGTTGGAGGTAGATATGTTTGCTCTGTTTTGTTTTGATTTGTTCTCTGTCTTTTACCGGTTACGATAACCCGATATAATTTAAAGATGTCTCGATAGAACTCGTAATGCCACTGCGCAATAGAAATCTAACTATGAGGTGCCTTGTTTTCCACTGGATATTTGCCAAAGTTCCCGCTTGGAATTCGACAAGCATGATGTCGTGATTGAATGCTTAGAACTGAAGTTCTTCCGCATTAGTGCAGAATGAAACGGAAATCAGCTACACCGGGCACATTCGATGGATAACAAGTCGGGACATTTTTTATTCTGATAAATCCTAAACAGTACGCAAATACAGTGCGAAACTTTGTTCATCCACGGTTGACAAAAGTGGCTCTCCCGAGAGGAATAAACGCTGTGCAATGTGTATCTAACCCGGCACCTGTCCGTGAACGAAAACACACCTCGATAGAAGTAATTCATCCATTTTATCTTCCGATTTCTTGACAATCTGGGAACAATTCTGCCCTGGGATCATTACAAAAAAGGTCGGACCACATCAGTTAGAATGCGCAGCTGGACATTTTGTGTGATCGTCCAAAAGATGTAGGTAAAGAAGCATTTCATATGAGCTCCACACTGCAGATACATGCATACGTTATTAAAATGTAATAAAATTACCCAAATAGTCGTTATGTTTGTTCACGACCACATTATGTACGAGCAGGTGACAGAGATGACTGTTACTTTGCCGGTCGATCGGTTTTGAAGTAACATTACGAGGGCATAATAACAGGTGAACAATGGTAGTTCAACTGTCTTTATATTGATCAAAGCGTCACCAACCACGAAGGCTGGGTTATCTAGGCATGCATATTTCCAGAACATAGCAGTGATTATTCAGAATGCGTTTATGAAGGAACAGTTACTTAGTAAACTAGGCCACCAAGACCCCCTCCCTCGAGAAAGCTCAGTGGTTAAGACACGAACTTACTCACCGGAAGGTCCATGGAGTTTAACGTCATCCTTCACATCAAGACTGCTTCTCTATAGGTTTGGGCAACCTGGCAGTATCTCAGCTCTTGTATTCCTTTCGGGTAGAATGGCAGCTAGAGACCGAAAGGATGTTTCAGCTGGTCGATTATCATTTTATTATTAATGTTATTTATTGACTACCCCGACGCAAAACCATTAATATAAACTGTTGTATTGTTGAACAAATTATCATTTATTTTTGAAGAGCATGGTCACAAACATAAAAAGTGAATGCAATTGATGAATGCGAAAGAGTAACAGGAGAATATGGGAGAAAAGAGAGAAGCGTCTCCTTCGAAATCATGCCAAGAACAGTTCCAGTCTGATGAGATGAATCCAAAAGTATGTGAAGATTTTGATATGGAAACAATCGTCTAAAGACCAGCAACCGAAGAAAGGACAAACAATGGTGAATGCTCTTCAAGGCGCGGTAGGCGCTAGCATCCATACCAATGTAAACGTAACCAAACTTCTTGTTATTTTGAAAGAAGGAATGGGGCCAAAATGACCCTGACATACTGGTTCTACAAAGTGAAAGACTAAATCCATTGAGTATATAATGGGAATACGGCAGGACTGCCCGGAATTGTTCAACATATCAGATGGTTTTCTGGAAGACATTGCAGAGGAAATTCATCAAATCAGCTTTGGAACACTTGTTCGCGTTTCGTGCATGACCGAATAATTTAGTGACTAACACCGAGCAGGGGATCATGAATCAACCTTCTGCGAAGGCTCACATATGATCATAAAGAGGCCGATTGGCCTCGACCTAACCAACTGATAAGGTGTGGTACTATCAAATTCCTCATGCTAATGAAACGCCAAAATGATAAAGCAGGTTTCGCTTGGTTTAACTTAGGCTTCGAGATGAGTTATCTGGACTATTGAACACGGAGGCTGATAATGTACACGTCAAGGGCTCAATGATGGGCCTGTTCATGGAAGTGCGAGAAACCATCAAGTTTGTCCTGGCTTAGTCTCAGCAGCTAAATGCAGCTGAGTGAGATTGCGTTATAACCAGATTAAAGGTTTATAATCGACCTAAGATGAGCACTGGTCGCATGTGATTCAGGTGGTCTTGCTCTGACACCCATGGAGGGTTTTCGCAACTGCGCAATTTAGCCTACAGTCATGATTCTCGTTTGCAAGCCATCCTGACTCGCTTAAAAGTCGTAGAGTCTCCCCGCAGTAATAGAAGCTTCCTAACTTGCCATGTTGTACTTCAGACCTTATTGGGTCTCAACTGTGTCCACCTGCATTTCCCCGTTATTCAGGTACCCGACCATTTTCGAATTGTGGTCGAAGCAACTCTGCGCGAGTTTTTCAACGCACTCATGACAGGAAAGGACACGGAGCAATCTTGGAAAAAACCAATCTACAAAATCATTGCTCGCATGGATCAACCAGTCCCGGAGTTTTTCAAAAATCCAAACTGGATGGAACAGTTGGCTGATGGATAATTCAATTCGGAGGGATATGATGATGTGTGTAATCACGTTTAAACCATAATCCGAAAACTATTCCAAACTACACAGGGTCGGAAAAATTGAAACCCCAATGTGTGGACGACTTTTTCCAGCGTGATTAGCCGAACCGCGTTTCTGATAGTACAACTATGGTGGCTTCCCTTCTATCCAATTTTGTTGTACAGAATTGTTCATCTGATCAACCGTTTTCAACTAGCCAAATCTTGTTGATTCTACATACTAATCGCCAGTATACACCTCACTTTCTGTTCTTTCTCTCCTGCTGGGCAGTAATAGGGACTTTCGGAATTGCCTGTCCTCCAAAATAAAAAACACTTCCATAAAAATGACAGGGTTTATGAAAGAGAAACCGTATCGTATCGTTGTACGAAAGTTCGCCTACTCTATCGATCCACTGAGTTGTATTGGACAGTGCCTATGTGACATCAAAGACACTGTCCTATCAGTTTGGCCAACAGACGAAAGTTCGACAAACCTGGCCTTATAGCCCTCCGGTTTGATAGGTGGAATAAGTGTGGGAATTTGTTGCCCAAAGGTGGGAGTATTCCGGTAGTTCTGCGCATAGTATCACTGCCCTGTGATCGGAGTGTTTGGTCGATAGTTTTGGTTGTGAACCCTGTGCTTCTCTTGCCTACGTTTGAACTCGATGGCACTTTCTCATGCACTTGTGAACCTTAGAGTAAGGCGAACTTTGTTATGCACTTAAGCGGCCTTATTGAGACATTCCTGTCAGCCATGGTGATAACAATGACAGTGACTCTTAAGGTAAACTAAAGCAAGCAAAGGATGCCACTTTTCAGCAGTAGTCAAATACTCGAACGCCCGCAGTATCTCATCAGAGCTGACTTATAATTTTGTTTTGCTCATACTCTGTGGGATGTACTGACAAGATGTATTCCAGTCATCGGATATGAGTGGTATTCACTTGATGATTTCCGTCCTCAGGCACTGTCCACTGTCCATTCAGGCACTCACCATCCGAACTCACTTACAAACTCCGTTGCCACCAGAAGCTTTCATGTCTTCAGTGACGAAAAAACGTGTAAAGTGTGGTCGCCGCCTCCAGTCCGATGAAATCGATCTAACTGAGGTCTGTAAGACCGCAGTGGTTGGAATGAAAGTTCCCCTTGGTCGACTGGTATCCCAGGTCAAAAGTGATCTACCAGTGATCCGGAAGTATCCCTCCAATATGTAAGCTGATTTAACCAAGTGATTTTACTGAGAGGTCAGAATTCTTTATTTGCCCGTGAATTCAACCCATGTTTATTACAAGATTATCAACTGGAAACCAATCATCAGGTGGCAGTTCATGTTCTCTGGAACAGTCAACATAGGCCTTTCAATTTGAGCTCTGTATACTAAATACAGCTACATATCAGGCTGAGGATGGGATCCACATGAAGTCCCTTCTTTGGTACGCCACGAGAGTATCAGATGCTCCGGCCTTTTTTATATATAAGCAGAGTGATATGGGCTATCGCGATTATGGAGCTATGAAGGCGATTAACTTTCCCTCAGTATGGAATACATTTTCAGCAGAATGGTTTTAAACTTCCATGGCAGCGTCATAAATCCTAAACCGGGTGGGCATTCATAATGCCAACCAGACAAAGCTAATTACTTGGATAAGTGAGCCCAGGGTATAGATGGATTTTCATAATGAAGCAAAACCCAGTGTGTTCTCTTCACTTTTAGCCAGGTAAATGTGAGCGGGAGTCCTGGGCAAAAGCCCCACATTGCCTCAGCTGCCGCCCAGAGAACCACAACAGCGTTCAGCACCCGCTGTGAGTACGGTTCAACAACACCGGGTTCACCCATCTTCACTGTACAAAAACACTCGCTCACAAGTCTCTTGGCATCCGAATCAGTATGAACCTAAACTATTCTTCGGGGAAGACGTTCCATGTAGCCTAGGATAATATCCTCCTGTAGGATCATTGGCGCTGATTGGGTTTCCCTTCACTAAGTTCAGCTTCTAGAACTCGGTGCGAATACAGCCGTTTCTCCTCGATGGAAGTGGTATTCCAAGCTAAACAGATCTCAAAAACGCTCTAGATTTGACAGCCGGCCCAGTTCCAGACCTGATCCTTGAATGGTAGAAGCTGATGTGGGTAGACAAAGAGGTTAACGAACATTTTCCTATCTATGGCTCCCAAAATCCACCTCACTGACGGTGAGTTACAAAAGAAACTGTTCGCTGTCCATAAATCAGTCACAAGTAGTTCAGGGAAGAACCTTCTAACCACAGCTTGCCTTCAGAAAAAGCAAGTCTATGCCTATCAATAAGAAAGTCAATCAAGGTGGCCACGGTGATCTATATTCCTAGTCCACTGTGTTGACAAGGAGAAAGGACAAACACAGACTTAGGGAAACGAACAAGTTTATTCTAATCATCTTTTGGGTTAAATCACTGTTAGTCCACAAATAGCATCTCAACTCACAGCGACATCTGTCTGGTCACTTTTAACAAGTTTCTGTTACGGCTGCTGTTGGATGAGTTTCTGCATCTCATCACCAGTCACATTGTTTATCTAGAAGAATAGCCATAAACTTAATACTTGAATACTGACAGAGTTTTCATTCACGAAGAAACCTTGAAAAACCAGAGAAATATGTTTGCTACTTGAATAGATGCAGGTAATGATTCACAAAGAAGCCTCAGATTACAACACACGCTGCAGAGCCTGTCACACGAGGATTGGCGCTTCTAACCGGTTCAATCAAAGTTAGCCACAGGGAAGATGTTGTGTAGTGATTACCAGACTGTCTTTGAGCCGTCTGCTTTGAGATGGCTAGAAGCGTAGTAGAAAGATTCAACAATCTGGGAAGCAAGCGCTCCCCGCTAAGATTTCTAGACATGAATCACTACTTCACGGACAGATGATAAAAGTTCGAAAGAAATGACCAAGATCAGGAGAAAGTTGATGAGGTTCGCCGGGTTAAAATAGCCCTGCCTAAATTGTCTGGTCATCACAACCGCCAAGTTATTCCGCAGGGCGAATGCCTGGAACGATGCTCGTGAATAAAAGGTGCTAAACTATCAGGTTTACATTCAAAGTTAAATTTACGAGGATAAAATAGATACCTGGTAATCACCATGGGCCTGCGGAAATGAAGTTCTGTTCGCCGTTAGCAACCATGAATGAGATTGCTGAAACAACGGGGCCAATCACAGTCACGAGGAATGAAAGTGGAACCTAACGAAACCTGCCAAAACAGGTCACTGTGGCGAGGTTGATACCTTGTGAGGTACGTCATATGGCTGTCCAAATAGTTATAAAAGCGACCCATTCTAATTTGCGTGGGGAGGGGGAGGGGGCTCACTTCGGAATCCTAAACTAAATTCACTTCTGACGACGACTAATTTCCTGAGTCAAATTTAGGGAAGAGCCTGCGCTTCAATTTCTCCCCTAACGGCGGGTGAACACGTTCCACTCTTAAGAGCCGAGTAGCATTGCGCAGTTATTCCAGAGTAAAGGCCCAGTTTGCTACCTTTAAACGTTCGGTTCGTTGCAAGCTTAAAATTTCAGATCACTGGTCATAGTCAGGTCGTGGAAGATTCTCAGCACACCGTTCTATTTCTCACTAAAGTAGTGTACCTACTGCCAATCGATCACCCATAAATACTACTCTCATTTAAAAGTAGTCTGTGTAATGACAACGGTGGTTAGATATATTATAAAACACTCACGGTTTAGCCCCGAGTGTTTATTTACTTTAAAACAAGGATTCAATTACTGACAAGTTTACGATGCTAACTTTAAGTGACACGTTGTTGTTGGGGTGGAAAGACTGGCAGGAGTGGCCATGCCCAATTCCATCGCGATGATCTCAGCTCCGCTTCATGCTCAGAAGAACCTACAAACTGGATGTTGTCCTTCTTGCGCTTCACTAGGCACAGGTCCATTCTAAGCTGTGCTGTGGTGCAGTACGTGTGATTCAGTCATGCATTAATCGTCACAGAATGTATGCAGGCAGAAACAAGATAAACACCGGAAAATGACTTAGAAAACATCCGTTGTTGTCCTAATGGTTATTCCCGTGTTATTTGACGTTGCTGCTGCTGTTGTTGTTGTTGTAGCTCTTACTGCTTCTGTGACCAGATTGATGCTACAGGTAGTTGTGCTAATCGGACGTGCGCAAAAAATTGTAGCTTGGATCTCCTGGTGCATGAGTGATTGGGTTTTTGACGAGTAAGCTGAAATGTTAATCTGCAAAACACTCTGTCCAAACGAGGATAATCTAAGAAGGCAAGCAAGGTACCATTCTGGAGATAAGCTTACTTGGTACATGTAAAAATATGGTATCAGTTGTATTTGGCACGTCCCAAACGTGTTCCAGGATGATTCTTCTAAGATGGATAATGTATATATATTACTAGCATGTTCCTTCTACAAACACTTCCAAAGCGAACACATCTTTACTGCTTAGTCAGCAAGAATCTGCCGTTTTGGTTAAACCAAATGGGTTGACCTTATTCATGCAGTCGTGTTAGGAATTTTAGTTTCAACGTAGTACCCATCTTGGATGAAAGAGCTTTAAGAATACCAAGAATTTTTTTATGAAAGCGTTTCCACTTCAGAAGGCATTTTTGAAGACGTTCAATAGTTCAGTAGTTAAAGTAGCTAGAGTCCGGATGGGGTTCCTCGAAATCCACGATTTTTTAACCAGGTGACACTTAAGGTCAGATCCCGAGGACCAAGTCCACTTGATAAGCAAACCGAACTGGGTGAAACGTTGGCAAGCTGATTGCAGATCTGGAGCCGTTATCCCATACCAATTAAAATATCACTTGAATTTATGACGTGTTCACTAAAGAACCACTCGAATAAGGCAAGTCTTGTTCGGCATCGTTGTCCCTCGGACTCTTACGGATCCACTCCTGAGACATAAAGTACAGTTTGGTGGAGATCATCTGAGAAAATAGTCTGCTCGCTACCAAAATTGCGGTGGTCATGACTACAAAATTGTAT